TGCAATGTTTGTATTCTAAATATTTTTACATAATATTTATATAATATTATAGTTATATACTTTACAATTTACCTAATTTGTATTATGTGTGCTAATGTGAAGTTGTAACAACTATATTAAAATATTTAAATGAGCATCTTTAAATAATATCTTGAATTAGGATAAAGTCTTGTGTATAATATATTCATATACATTAATATATTTTATTTTATTATACACAGATTAAACAGTCGTAACAGCTATTAGATTATTGTTATAAATATTGTTCTGCAAAATATAAAATTATACGTATATACCTGCTTTTCCATTTCAAATGTACATATGTAAATTGTCTCTATGTATAAATTATCGCGTAATCATATCGATAAACTAATTAATATCTGGAGACTAGCAAAGATTAAACGGTTTTTAACAATGTGTGTGCGTATATATATTTAAGATTTACCTGATATATACTTATATATTCGAGACAGCAGAACCCCTCCACGCTCAGTAATAACTACTTTCACGTTTCTTCTTTAAATTTAAAACCTTTTCGTGTTGTAGGTATAATCGCGCCCACTATAACCCTCAAAAACTATATATAATTACTTTGATTTCAAAACGGTTTCACGTTGTACAAGTAATCTACCATATAATATTATATTATAATGGAATTCGAGTAACCCCAACCTCGAGTGTACTACGGTGCCGTTTGTCACTTAGAAAAATTAATTAATATTGTTATTATTACTTCGGGTATCGCAGTTACGATTTAGTATCGTTTGCGAGCACATTTATTTCGTTTTGGTCGGTCTTTTAAAAGACGTATCAGCTGTACGCATATTATGTGTGTTTTGACTTCGGGGCGTCAATAAATTATAACGTGGGACGAATGTGTTGAACATGTACGACGACGGTATCATAATGTATAATAAACCTACTATAGGTTTATAATAATAAAACGGTTTATACAAAAATATGTAATAATTTTCAATTAAATCAAAAAAAAAAATAAAAATAATATCATATTATATAGTTGGTGGGACTGCGTAAATGTAATAGCCATCCCTCTGGGGTGCGTTTCAGTCTCTATAGGTCGCCACTGCTGATTGTTGGATGGTGTAAAATATTAATTAATGTTTGTGAGCCACATAGATTTACCCGCGTATTTTATATGAACACAGCAACGAAAGAATAACTACAGATTATATACGTGCTATCAGAACGTTTATTGGTTTACATGTTATTTACAGGGAACCGTTCGGTTATAAATCGGCATATATATATAAATGATATAATGTATAATAATAATAATAATATGGAGCGCGCACAGGGTCGTGATGGCGAAGGCGGCATAGTTGTCGTTATTTTTCTCGCTCATTAATTCGGAACTGTTTTTTCCGGCCGCTGTCATACGTCAGACTCGAGGTTTATGCGACGAGGTTAGGGGGCGGGAAGAAGCTTTTAGCCAGATGAACTCTTACACACATATACATACATACTCCCACAATATATATATATACTTCTCCTTTGAACGCGCATACACACACCCAAACACACGGATGGATGACCTCGTCGATTATCACATATACAGCTTGTGTATGTATATACTTCGTCGTTATGTATTATATTATATGTACGCGTGTGTGTACATTATTTTATATATCTATAGTAGTTATAATAATAATAATAATAATAATAATAATAATATAATCGTATATAGATTTGAACATGCTGCTGTATATATACCGCCATGTGGTCGTCGACGTTGCCGCAAACTTTTATGGGTGTCGTAAAACCGCAATTTCTCTGGTCTCGAGAGATTAAAAATAGACGAAAAACCACCGCTACTCTCTCGCGGAAAACAGTATAGCGAACAGGGATTAGTATATATATATTTATATACGTGTATATAATATACGGCGCCTCTGCTGTACACGTACGCGGAATATCCATGTGCTACAGCCGTGTTTTCCGCTATGACGATAAACGTTTTTTGATATTATAGAATATTATATAGATGTATTTGTGTGTTTTTTTGAACTATGGCCAACACACCGTGCGGCATCGTCATCGGCTTCGTTTTATTATTATTTTTATTTACAAGGTATATTATATAACGTCGACAAATTAAATAATAATACACTTTATAGAGGAGTAAAGTACCCACATATAGACCTGCTTGTATTATATTGTACCTTCATGTATATATGTGTATACACCGGAGGAAATATACATTACAATCATATAGAGGTATACATTTTAATTTTTATCATACTATCGAGGCGTCTCGTTTTTGATATATACGGAATTTTTTGAAGTCACGCGATCCTCTGATGTGTACAATAATATTATTATAATGTTATACTCGTTGGTTGTATAATGTCCATCCCTTTCCGCGTAATTAGATATATAAATACATAGATTTGACCTTTTAAGAACACACTTAAAAAATAAATAAATTAATCAAAACAAAATGAGTGCTTGCAAATATTTTTTTCTCCTTATGGCTTAAACTACATATTGGTTTAATAGAATATTATATTATATTACCTATATTCATATGATCATACGATTTTGATTGTCGATCTCCGCATGACAACAACCAAAACATAGATTTTATAAGTACCTACAGTGTTACTCTGTAAATAGATAGAATATCATACACACGCGCTGTGCTCTATCGCCAGCACCATTATAATAGCATAAATAGCAGCAACAACCATGTAGACAATGTACAATATACAATATTTTCTCCAAGTTTTTCGCGTGTCCAGCGTATATTTAATATAACATACTTTTCTCTTTATTTTTATTATTTTTTTTCCTTTTTATTGCTGTCATTATTTCGTTACTATCGTGCCGCTCCTGCTAGGTTGCAGCGACTTTGACCTTTTTGGCCCCTATATCGGACACGCGACATTTTATATGTGCACAGTACTTATATATTATAGTGTATTAAACTATTATATTATTTTATACACTTGCTTCGCGAGAACGTTTCGGCTCGTCTCTCGCCCTATCCTTTCGCTACCGTTATACACTGGATAAACTGCCATTGCCACGTTGCCGTTGTTATTGACGTACATGTACACAATAAACGAACACACACGCACACATACAAGAAAATTGCTTATTAATATCACGTAAAAGCACTATTAAGCTTACCCGAGTTAAATAAACGTCGTTTCTTTTAATTATACATACAGATCAACATATTCGAAATTTATATTACAGCTAAGTTAGTCAATCTGATTAAAACTTTAAGTATATTTATCTCATAAGCTGTTCGTTCAAATTTTAATTTGTTGTATCCAAATATCTCTCTACTAAGAATTCTTTTTAAAATTATAGTTGTAAAAAAGGTATAGATTCCTATTTTAATTTATTTAGCCAACTCCTAAATCCTCCCTAAAATGTGGTAAAAATATATAAAAATTACTAATCATTTTAAATAAATAAAACTTTCATATTAAAAATTGTTTTTTATTATGAATATTTTAAATGTATGTAATAAAATAACTGTACTATACATTTTAAATCGTTCTGTATACATTTATGTATGTTTATGTATATTAGGTACTGGTAATTAGCCTATTAATGTAAAATTTCAAACTTATCTTCACGGTTATACATATTTTGTATATACATAAAACCATTATTATTTGATGTTATATTATAATATATTATAATATTGTATTATAACTTTAATAGTTAATAATATAAAAAATCACGTAGAAATCATAATTTCTACAAGTTAATTACCACAGTCATTTATTGATAACATAATTATTGTTTACGATTTATGTGCAGTGTATTAACGAATTATTTAAAACAATTTTTCGTTTACTACTTAAGAATATTACGAACACCATTTAGAGATACGATGTAAAGGGATTATATAATGTCATATAATGTTATATCGATTATATTTACTATTGGATCTATCTAGAATAAGTACAAGAGAAGATGAATTGGGTATCTAAATGCTTAAAAATAAAGTCACAAAATCTAATTTTTTATTAATTTCATAAAATAATTAACAATATTTAAGAACAAGAAGCGATATTTACTGCATTAAGTATAAGTAGGTACATAATATATGAAATGGATATCAAATACATTTAAAGTACTACAGATGATTACGTTATTGAGATTAATGGAGTGCAGTGATGAGTGATGTCCACAGATACTAATGGCAATGGACTTGAAAGGGCCGTAACACTCAAAAATCAATGTAACAGTAATGTTAAGAGTGCAGTTTAAATCTCGATGTGCACACGGAAAAGAAGGTGTATAAGAAAAAAAATTATAACATAAATTATGCAGTAGCATCGACAAACATTACAATTACATAATTATTATATTGTAGTGCTATTCGCTGTACTTACTGTATACATCTATATTATGTATATACAATTTTTCTTTATGTTTCTTTTCGAACAAGTGGCTCGGTTACAAAGAAAAAATACTGAATCAGCTGCGCTAATGATTTTAATACTCGTATGTATGTTATGTACTATATTATTGTCGATAGTCTTCGCAGAGTTGATCGAATTCTATGTATATATAAACATTAGTAAGTCTGTAATATATAATATAATAAAATATGTATAACAAACTATCAAGTGTCCTTCATGCGTTTTACTAATTAACCGACGTTTGAATCAAGTCTTTTAACAGCCGGAAAGTTGTTAATGTGTGTTATATATATATAGCATATTATATTTTCTATAAAGATACGTATTTAACCTAAACATAGTGACAGGTACAGTGTTACGTTTGATGCGTATCCCGCACTTGAAAAAAACAACAATAATTATAATTATAATAATTCGTTATAGATATATGTACATAAATATGTTTACCGCAAGCAATTTGTCCTGATATTATCCGTTTATAATACGTACAAAAAATCAAATTTATAAATTATCACCTTGTTTTCCATAATTTTACTATAATCATAATTTTTTATAACAATTAACTTATGTACGGTTTTTTTTTTTTGTTTTTTCCAGTGGGCTTCAGTTGCATCGTGGTTTCTGCGGCCTGAGATGGCCGGAGCCAGCGTGCCGCCGATCGTACCGCAACCACCCCCAATGCCCATCCGACCTTCCCGGACGTCTTCGGATCCTCCGCAAATGGCCATGCCTCCAACAATATGCACTGTACGTACAGAAAAAACATTATTTTACGATACACACATACCCATACACATACAGAGTAATATATACGTACCACTGATGTGACGCGTACTTATTTATGTTTATCTTTGCGAAGGGTATTTATGTATATATATAGTATATAACATTGTACTCGTACGATTTAAAAAGTAATTGACGAATTATTGGGTATGAGTATATAATTTGAATAAAGTGATATGTTCATCGCTATCTCTACGCGACGGCAGACGATACGATAAAAATATACTTTATAGAATAGGTATAATATAATATCGACGTCTTCGTTTTCATATATATAACATACGATGAACACGCTTGATATACGAAATTAATTTCATTTTTATTCTCATAGTGTAATATTATACGCTTTTCCGTGCAAAAAAACGTGTTGTTTGTTGTGTTTCACACCGCTCACTGCATTATTGCAGCAACGGATCTTCAATTTATATGAGATATAGCTATAGGGACACTGGGTTATCGTCATTGCCACCATTATTATGTACTTAAACTATATACGTAAACCTATTCGTATCACACTATCACATATTCACATGCCGGGTTAGAATACTATATTTTATAATATTATATTATATGCGTATAGTGTATACGAATAATAACAATAAATAAATAATTGCTATCGGGTTTCTTACAGTTATATACATACACGACATACACACATATATATAGCTTCTGCTGAAGGATTTTTTTTCATGAAATGTGGACCTATTAGAGTGAAACGCTCGTACCGCCGCAGTAATAGCGTATAGTCGTCATCGTCGTAATAGTCGTAAAGTCGTCGTTGACGGGTTCCACACTCCACCCCCCTTTCGACTGCTGCTCATCCATCAATACCGACGTCAGATTTTATGATTTGCATTTGAAGTGAAGATAGACTGATGCGTACATATATATAATATAATAATAAATAATAATTTATACAGTGTTCGGTAAACGGCAAAATACCCATCGATCTGCCGGCCGATATTGACAGCCTCTGCCGAGCGATAGCTGCCCGACATCGGTTATAATATTATAATAATATACCCGTTTTATTTTACATAATTTCCATTTCGATTTCGCTCTATATATATATATATATATATATTACTACTGCCTGGTCGTGTAGTCACGTATATTGTATTATATTATAAATCCAATTGTGATACGTTACGTATACCCTAAAATATATTATAATTTATAACATATCATATATATAAAGGTCGTGGCAATGGTATAAGGAAAACAAATAGGCTAGAATGAAATTCAACGGCGTTTTCTTAAATTCACTGCGTAAAACTTAAAAAAACTATATACCTACACTTACAAATACTGTTTCCTTACATTTACATTTACATTACACGCCCGTCTTCTACACTACAATATTATAGCGTACTTGTGCGCACACTTTAGCTATACTATAAATGTATAATAATAATATAATACATAACAATGCGATAACGACCACTAGAAATACACACACACTTTTACGGTGTAAATATAATACCCTATTGACTGCGTACATGTGTATGTGCCCCGCGTGTAGTGTCGTTTTCCCTCGTTATACTTATATACACTTATACACATATACATTATCTATACACATATATATATATATTGACGCTCGTTTTTAATGGGCCGTGACAGGCGTCGCGCCCGATCGGCTCGATCAATTTCAATTACACAGCGTCGCGACGTCGTCGTCGTTGTCGTGCCTAGCACCGCACAACGCCACGATTTTGTAATTTTCGAGGGAGTTGCATGTGTTGTGTGTGAGCGAGTGTGTGTAGGCGCGCGCGCGCGAGTTGGGCAAGTGTGTATGTTATTATTTTTACGAGGGGACACAACGATAGAATAGAAAAACCTAACGATATCGAGTTGGGTTTTAATTGATGCGCGACAATATTAAATTCAATAACATGTGACGGAAGCACTTGACATTTTTAACGTCTGTTGTATAATACACCACATTAATAAATATATCATATAATATTATAATATGACAGTTTTGTGTGTGTGTGTGTGTGTGTGTGTGTGTGTGTGTGCATTTGCTACGAAATATATATATATATTATACGAATTTTACCGTTCAGATGCGTCCTCGTCACCATTACACTCGACGACCTTGCGGTTATTCTACCAATTATATTTAGGACCTTATTGTCGTATAGCAATAATTATACTTGTGTCTATTGCGTATGACAATCGTTCACCGTACGTACATACTACATACATTATATACTAATAATAATAACATTCGATTCACGTGCGTTGCGGTTATGATATTTTTTTCGATTTACCTACAGCGAGAAAGAGAGATACTGGCCGAACACGGTGGGTAGAAATTATATACATACGAAATTGACATTATGACATCGAATATATATATATACATGTATGTGTGTGTGTATGCGAGTGGGTATGCCAATGACAGTAACAATTTTGAGTGGCCCGGACATTACATTATGATTAGAGGTACCGGTAGGCCTGTGGGCGTTTTTTATTTTTTTTTACTTTTATATGAGCTCCGTGCTCGGACCGGTTGAACGACGAACTACGACGACTTCGACGACGACGACGACGACTAAAGCACTCGGTATGTGCACACGACGTATATTATTAGTATGTATATACCTGCACACTAGAGGACATCGATCGACGAGTATAATGTATATATGTGTGAATGTGTAGTAGTAGTAGTAATAGTAGTAGTACCATATTATTATGGAGATGAGATGCACACATATATAAAAGGTACGTGACTGTCATCTCGGGGCTGATTACAGGGTGTCTGTCACTGGGGCCGCCGCAGATTGCCTCTCGTATAACTGCCGGGCAATATATACAGGTACTGGTATAGGCAGGTACAAGAGGAGGAGAAAAAAGCGGTATGTGTGTAATAATAATAAAAATGATGAAACACCTGCAACCAATTTTGTATAAATAATGTAATATATTTCTTGGCCCGCGGTCTCTCGAAGATCATTATCTCTAGGCGGACACCACTGCCGCATCGACTCTTCTATCGCCGCCAAAATATGACGTTACACCCCCTTTTTTTTCTTTGTCTCCTTTTCTCATCGCTAAAACCTATGCCACACTACGACAACGACCATAATATCACATCTATAAACGCACACGAGCATTTTTATAGATAAGTTTAATACGTTACAATATTATACTAAATAATCTATATGAACCTTTTATGACCGTAACGGCGGAAATATTTTTATGTGATGTTAACTATACGTGTCACCACTTCTATTGCCGCTACTATTCTATTACTACTTATTATTACTACTGTTACTACTTCTAATATTATTGTACAATAACAACTCTAATACGCAAAACCGATCCAATGTGATAGAAAATTAAAATCTGAACGAGTTTACCGTGCATTTATAATATAAAGTTAAAGATAATATGTTACACGTTTATATATATATATACACGTATATAGTGAACATAATATGCATTATAATAATATATTAGTAGTATGGGCTACTATAAACCCTAAACTCGTGACGCTGTATGCAGTGGGTATGGAGACCCTTCTTCCGGCATAGAAACTGAAGGGATTATAATTTGCCTGTTGTACCCCCCTTATTTACCCCTACCCATTACCACAAACAGCACAGTAAAGTTGCACTCGCGCATGTAAAACGGCACGTGATGGCCACTACAGCTTGTATCTGTGTGTATATATATAACTACAGTGAGTGTGTGTATTTTGTATAATATATATATACTATACTTAGGTATGTGTGCAAAAGGGTTCAGCATTAATTCCATCCGGTCCCCGTTGACAGGTCAATATCCCCCAACTATCTCCTGCGCCGCCAATCTATCGCAGCGATATATAACCGTCCATCTTGCATCATTCCAGGTTATCCTGCTTTAGTCACTCTGCGCAGTTGTATCTCTCTCTCTTTCTCTCTCTCTTTCACCAAGTCCATCTCCCCGTATTACTAAATCATTCTCTCTGTATTACCAAATCCCTCTCCCTCGTGCCACACGTTATCGGTTAATATACGCTCTTTCCATGCGCGCTCACAACAATAACGGATAATAATAATAATAATAATAATAATAATAATAATACAAATTACAATATAGGTTGACCGACCTACCAGTGTCAGCAGAGGGGGCGACGCCGTCCGCAACCCTTTACGTATATGGAAATTACATTTTATGGTGCACATACTATTTATACCTATAATATGCGTGTGAGTGAGCATATTATAATATACAGTACCTATATTATAGTTGTTTATATATACTATAAATTATATAAAGATACCTCACTGCAAAAATATTATATTATATCGTAACGAAATACACGGTGACTATATTTTTAAAACAAATATATAAAATTATAATTTATAATAATATATTATACATATATACTTTCTGTACCTAACTCAAATTGATGAGTAGCATTTATAATATAGGAGGGATCTATATTATATCTAAATAATAATATTTATTCCATTCATGCGACAGCTATGAAATAAGCAGGGCTTTTTATATGTTAAAAATGTGATTATAGCCATGGCGACTGTAGTATAGAAAGAATCCATTTAAAAATAAAATAGATTTCGGTCAATCTGCGTCATTGCCGCACGTTGCACGGTCACCACGTGATTGATTTATGTGGTGTCCGCCGCCCCACACCCGGTTATGGAACGCTGCGGGCGTATTGCATGTGCCTTGTATGATACACGCGATATATTATTAAATTAATTGTCGTCTCGTATTTTCGAGTGAAAAAACAAATCGAAACTAATTGGAAAAACGGCAAGCGCGGCGACGTAAAGTAATATTCATAAAATTATTATATATTTATATTATATATGGATTTCAAACGCGTATACATTAACATTATACAAATCGATCGTCCTAAGCTACAGAGATGGTTGTCTCACGACGAGTCCTTGATACAATCACGACCACAGGACTAGTCAGCCAAGCGGGATACAATGGTGAGC